AGGCTGTGCGATTGCCGAAACCTGTGCCCTGTGCTCTGGGTGTCCCTGCTGGAGCAGGGGGTTGGACTAGGTGATCTCTAGAGGTCCCTTCCAATCTCAACCATACTGTGATTCTGTGATTCTGGGATTTTCCATTAGACAGGGAAAGAGTTTATCACACTTTGTGAATACGCAGTTGTTATAATTGTTGCATGGGGAAATAACTGTAAGGCTAAAAGTTGTAAAATGTTAAAATAATAAAGCTCATGCAGGGTCCATACTGAAATAACTGAGTAGATTAAGAAGTGTGATCTGATGTAAGCATTGACGTAATCTCCCCACCAAGGAAGGCATCCTTTTCCAGAGCTTCCAGAGCCCATGGAGCAGGTCAATTACTGCATCTGTCAAATACAAGGGTTCAAATTAAGATGTAGATTTAAGATTCAAATACAATACACTGTTTATTTTCTATTTTTTATTTTCTGAAGAATGTAACCTGAAGCCTTCTGTGGTAAAACTCAGCCATACATGACTTTTTTTTTTTAAATCAGAAATACACAGAAGTGAATCTGACTTTATAACTCACAAAGATGATACAGTTGATATAGAAATTTAGGTTTTATCTAAGGATGGGCAGTTACTCGAATGTTTTAGCTAAATATTTTCACATTAACACTACAATTTCTTTTTTTTCATGTAAATCATAACTACAAATTAAAGATTTCTTAAAATGTGAATGTCCTAGGGGAAGTCTGAAAGCAGTCCCAGTATTGCAGCAACACTGGAACCCAATTTACAAATTTCCAGTAATCTGTTAGAAATACTTCTTACTCAGATGGAGTGTCACTTCTGGAAAGCGGTATACGTCAATTTAAAATGGCGAAACAGAACCCTTTTTCCTGCTGTAGGAGGAGAAGTGAAATTCTTTATGCCAAATACAAATAGATTCTAGATTCTGTTTGGGCTTGGCAATACAAAAACAATCTGAGGACTGCTTCTGTGACAGATAATTCACTTGCTTGACAAATACTGTTTTACTAGTCGGAGTAGTAGTAGTAGTAGTAGTAAGAATTTGTAGTAACCTAAGGCATGAGCTATGTATTTTATGGCTCTCTGTGGTGGTGATTTTAAAGGGTTTTTGTTACTAACCAGAAATAAAATACCAGCAGTTTTGTTTTTTGTTTGTTTGTTTTCTGTAGTGGAGGAAAAGCCTTCGTTATGAATTCTTACCTGAAAGGCAGCTGCAAATTTGAATTAACTGGAAGAGTTCACAGTATTTGTGCTTTTAATTTCAGAGTAGCTTCTGGTTGAAATGTCAGTAATTTTGAACGGAAAAGAAATAAGCAACAAGTAAGGAAGGTCTAGCATTAATCCATACTTATTCCCTCCCAAATTATCTCAGGAAATGATCCTTAAAATCAGCAACTTTATCATTATACAATGAGTTTTAAATTGCCTAAAGTTGTTACTTTCTCCAATCAAAAAGCAATACATATTTCAGGGGAAATTTTAGTGTAATTTTCAAATCCTACTCGCAGCAACTGAGACTACAAAACTTATTTTATGATTCAGGTCCCACAAGCTGAGTAAATTCATTTTAAAAATATCTTTGTCAAAAATTTGCCAAAAAACAATTATGATTTTAAAATCTGTGTTTTTCCTCCCACAGCGTAGGGTGAAAGCCTGCTATTCTGCACACAGGAAATAGTAACTTAAAGTGCTAGAAAGATTTTTTTTCTTTTAATCTCCGTGACCTTTCTCCCATATAAGCCAATTTGTCCCATAACCTACATTTGCAGATAAAACGTACCCAGAGCTTTATTTCATGACGCGGAGCTCTTGTTAAAATAAGATTTCCAATATCCATGGAGTTGGCCAAGAGCTGCCTCTCTTCTCTGTGCAGCCCTAGTGGTGACACTACAGAAGACCCTTCTCAAGGCAGGGATAAGCCACCGAGCTCCGACGTGCTCGTTTGACACCAGGTCACAGTATCAGCGTGTTCCCAGTTACCACCCAATAAGTTATCTTTAAAAAGAAGCCCAACTCCAAAGCAGGTTATTGTTCGACAGACAAAAAAAAAAAAAAACACCCTTCAAATTTGAACTTTTTCCTTGGGAGGAGAGGGCAGGGAAGAGATCTTTTTGCTAATTGCAAAGCTCAGGTCTGCCTGCCTTTGAAGAGCATCATAGAAGTTTCCTTTCTAAATCCAGTCCATCTCAAAATAGAATCATAGAATCATAGAATGCCGAAGGTTGGAAGGGACCTCAGAGGTCATCGAATCCAACCCCCCTGCACACGCAGGGTCACCTAGAGCACGTGGCACAGGGCTGCATCCAAGCGGGTTTTAAAGATCTCCAAAGAAGGAGACTCCACAACCTCTCTGGGCAGCCTGTTCCAGTGCTTTGTCACCCTCACAGTGAAGAAATGCTTCCTTAAGTTCCTGTGGAACTTCCGATGCTTCAGTTTGAAGCCATTTCCTCTAGTCCTATCCCTGCCCACCACTGAAAAGAGGCYGSCCCCCTCCTCCTCACTGCCTCCCTTGAGGTATTTATACACGCTGATCAGGTCCCCCCTCAGCCTCCTCTTCTCCAGGCTGAACAGACCCAGCTCCCTCAGCCTTTGCTCATAGGGCAGATGTTCCAGGCCCCTGATCATCCTCGTAGCCCTGCGCTGGACTCTCTCCAGCAGCTCCACATCCCTCTTGTACTGGGGAGCCCAGAACTGGACGCAGTACTCCAGATGTGGCCTCACCAGGGCTGAGTAGAGGGGGATGATCACTTCCCTCGACCTGCTGGAGACRCTCTTCTTAATGCACCCCAGGATCCCGTTGGCCTTCTTGGCCACCAGGGCACACTGCTGCCTCATGGTCAACTTGTCGTCCACCATGACRCCCAGGTCCCTCTCTGYGGGGSTGCTCTCCAGCAGGTCCACMCCTAATCTGTACTGGTGTCCAGGGTTATTCCTCCCCAAGTGCAGGACCCTGCACTTGCCCCTGTTGAACCTCATGAGATTTCTCACGGCCCAGTCCTCCAGTCTGTCCAGGTTCCTCTGGATGGCAGCGCAGTCCTCAGGGCTATCAGCTACTCCACCCAGTTTGGTAATAAAGACTGGCTCTTATTTTTCTCATTTGACTGTTGAAATCAGATGAGCGCCAAATCCCCCACCACAAGTTTCTGAATAGATATCTGAGAGGAAAATGTAGGGAAGAAGGGGCCAAGCTCTTCTCATTAGTGGCCAGTGACAGACAAGGGGAAATGGGTGCAAGCTGCAACACAGGAAGTTCCATCTCCAGGTGAGAAAGAACTTCTTCACTGTTAGGGTGACAGAGCCGTGGCACAGGTTGCCCAGGGAGGTTGTGGAGTCTCCTTCTCTGGAGGTCTTCCAAACCCGCCTGGATGCCACCCTGTGCCCTGTGCTCTGGGGTGTCCCTGCTGGAGCAGGGGGTTGGACTAGATCATAGAATCATAGAATCATAGAATCACAGAATGATTAAGGTTGGAAGGGACCTCAGAAGTCATCTAGAGGTCATCATCTCTAGATGATCTCCAGAGATCATCTCTGCTGCTGAGATGATCTGCTCCAGAGATCTCCAGCTGCTGCCTTGATACAATCAGGATGACACCTTTGAGATTAAAAAACAAAGCAGAGGGGCAGCTCCTTAACATTGGGGCACAAGACATGAACTGAGAAGTTAATTTTCCCGTCTTTTTTTGGTTCAGCTCATCATATAAACCAATAGATTTAGATGTCAGGAAACTCCTTTCAATGGGACAATAAAAACAAGGAAGAACAACCAAACAGCCCCTGCTGCAACTTATGCCTAAAAAGTATGATATACACTGATAAAATGCAGACAGGAACAACTCATTTTTTGCACTTACTAGCCATTCATTAATAAATGCCTTTTAAAGTGTCCAACCCAACTATTTCATCAAGCTCTGTCAGGCCATTCAACACTCCTTTCTTGCAGTTCAGGACAAAGAAGGAATTTCACATCTTGTAGAAGAAATGTTTCATTGTTATTATTATTATAGGCTTATAGACTTATTATTATTATTAGACTATTTTGTGTTGGAGGCCATCAAAGACTTCCTTAGCAACCTATAATCAAGCTGTGTAAAAACCATTAGCTAGGAGACGTTCCTCACTGCTTATGCTTGGCAAAGACTTGCAACTCTTTGTGGCAAAATCATTGGTTCAGATTAAAATTTGAAGCATCAGATACAGGGCTCGCTCACTAATATAAAGGGAGTTCAGTATTAGGTGACCCATGAAGTCTTCAGAAAACCCTATTCTAGGTTGCTGTGCAGATTCAAGTGGTTGGTTGCTTTATTTTGAGAGAATGACAAGTACTTTAATTAAGAGGAGCATGAAGACATCTGAGCACCTCGATTCCATGACACCCTTCAGAACAAAATAAACCAAGACAGCAACAAAAGAGGAACTTTTGTTTTATAATTTTTTTAAGCCATCTGTACTACCCTAATACCAGCTCTGTATCATTGCTTTGCTCGCCGAATAGTCCCAGCGATTACAGCTCCACGCAGTAAACCTTGCTGCAGAAGGTCACAAATAACAGAAACACAGGTTTAAAAATTTTCAAATTTGAAATTTATTTAGAACTCGGGGGTTCAGTGTGGTTTCCAATTGGCTGTGAATGGCGTATGAAGGTGAGTGTGGAGCAAAGTGCACCCGTTCCCTGCGCCCAGCTCCCCCCCAGGAAGCTGTGGCCCGTTCTCCCAACAGCCGCTGTCTGCAGACAGCGCCTTGAGGAYACTGCTGCATTTCCTGGGTGCTCAAAGCTACCGCATGATACATTGGGCTGCAGGAGAAACATGAAAGTAAAATCCAGAAACAAAACAGCTGCTTTTACCTTACTGCTGAAATAGGCAATCGTAAAATGCAATAAACATATTTTTGAATTGTTACCCCTCAAAAAAATATAAAAAGCCCATTCCTTTTTAAAGGAAGCTAAATTTTCACTTTCATTTCAAGCTAAAATTTTAGACTTCAAGTCATTAATCCAAAGCCTGTTAAAATATGGCTAAACAACAAGCGTGTCTCAGTCRGAAATGAAGCTGGGACTAGAAGAGCCATGTCAATATTCCTTCAACTTTCAGGGCATTTCTAGCGGCTTGAATAAAAGCAGCATAACAGGGTACTTCCATTTTGTGTCTTTTTCATTTTTTTAGTGCTCTTGAAAGTTAGTTCCCAGGAGCACTAACCCGAGCACTCAGGCACAGGCTGCTGCCTTCTGCCAAGGGCCAAGCTGCAGCGGTAGCGTTGCCGAGCCGGCCTGCTCGCCAGCGCCGAAGCGAGAGCCTGCTCCACAGCGCGGCGCCCACCTGCACCCCTGCCAGCCTTTGCCATGACTGCCTCTTCACAAGGTGTTCTCTCTGTGCTGGCAAGCAGGCTTAGAGACGATTCTTTCCTTTTTTTCTTTTTTTTTTTTTTAAAAAACACCCTCTGAATTCACCATTATTTAATACATCAATAAGGAAACCCCACCACCTGATATTGGCATTTTCAGAAGAGACCATAATCAATTCTTAATAATAAAAGATCTCATGTAGATCTCACTTCCCTCGCAGCTCAGGGAAGTGCCTACTACCTTGCCCTGGCATCATTTCCATGATACATTTGTTATTGTCATTTACAGATAATTTTGGCAAAACAGTTCTTCAAGCTGTTGATGAAAAAAAAAAACGCAGTTTGTTTCAGTTCATCTTTTGGTTTTTTTTTCCATAAACTTGAACAAGGAATTGATAGTATAGGCAATTACCGACATGAACTACCCACAGATAATGTGTTCTACTCAAGTGCTTATGTCAGTGGCTTGACAACCCTTTCCCCCCTAAAATATTTGTAAAAACATCGGAAATAGCTAAGAAATTTATAAAAAGTTCCTTAAACATCTGCTTAATGCACCTTTCCGTCAAATAAAAAAGGGCTCTCATTTGTTTTTTGTGGATATCAGAGAGAGGCTACGGAAGAGGTAAAGGATAACGGGTATCTTTCAATGGCTGTGCTGGAAAATTTAAATGACCACTACTCTAAAGGTTAAATACGGAGTTTCCATAAGAAATCATAAGGGCAAAAAAAAAAAAAATAAAGAAATAATAAAAATCCTTATGAGATCAAGTGACATTAAGAATATCTAGCTATGTTATATGGAAGATAATATACACAAAGATTGTAGCACAGTTGTATTTTCCCTTAAAAGCCACTGTCAGTAGGGCCACAGACTAACTATACTGACGAGTGACTTGAATATCTTTGATACAGGGGAATAATTAGGTTACAAGAGAAAAATGTATCAAATTGGCTCCCCACATCTATACTATGATGTTAAGTAAGGGTCTTAACCATTTTCCTACACACTCCACTTCCAAGCTCACTGGAGCACCCCTGCTAGAAAAGAAAGCCCGGAGAGGGCAGTTCTAACCCACGTGGTTGGACTACACTAAAAGGACAACTATCTTCAAGGAGATTAAGTTCAGATGTTTAGAAACTGCAACAACAAAGTGACATTAGAAATCTTAAACAGCGACTTGTACTGAGCTGTAATTATCTCTTACAGAGCATTAGTCTACACTCCAGTATTTTATGTGGTAATTGCATTAAAAGAAAGCTCTAGCACACCTAAAGGATAAGGCATAGCCATCTACTAATTGGCATATTTGTTTATTTGTTGGTGAAAAGGTCCTTATTTGTGGAAGCAGCAAAACAAATTTCAACTGAATGATTGCTATAGGCGAAAGGACTGAAGGCCATTGCCTCTGCAGTGAACTTTACAGTTCTCAACAGCACACACGCAACATGCTATCTGAAAAAAAAGAAACTAACTGAACTACAGGTATTAAATACTGAAAAGAAGTTTACATTTTTATTATAATTTATTTTTATTTAACAATCTAAGAAGTTTGCAGCCATCAGAAGTTCCAGTGCAATTTCAGGTGCAATTGGGAATTCAGGAATCTCCGTAGAGCTGTTAGTATAGCGGACCTTGTAGGTGAAATACATGCATACTTTGGATAGGACATGGGATGGGATCTCTCTGAAATTCACCTCATTCGTTTCGTTTTCTGCAAACTGTCCTGTAGGGAAAGAAAAAAAATAAATTAGCACTTAAATTCAGTGCAACATGAAGCACATACCACACTGCTGAATGCAAACGCTGTGAATAACATTGCTTAAGCCCCGTGCTGCTGGGCACTAGGTTCTTCTGTGAAAAACAGCATGGACCGCAATCATAATCCTCAAGAAAATATTCCTTAGGATCCATTTGCACTAGAAAGTGCAAATTGCCTGTCAGCAATATTCTGAACAAGACACCAGAAATTAATTTTGATCTGCTGGCCTTCTGAAGGTGCCTGAAAACTGCAGCCTTCACAGTTATGAAACCCACAGTAACAGTATGCCTACAAAAAGAGCTATCGAACCAAGTTTTTAGCTGGTTTCCATGCTTGTCTAGAGAGGAAAATAAAAGAGCTTATACATCTTCCACATTTATGCATGTGTTCCTGTTCTGCCCTTTGGTGATCCTACTAGTTTTGTGTTTCTAGGCCAGTTTGGGGCAAATGTGACAGAGGGCAGACACCTCAAGACGTACAAGCTTCATAAACTTGCTGGAAGCCGGCAGGAGGAAAAGGAAAACCCTCATTATAATTGTGCTAGAGAAAAGGTTTGGGATGAGTTTATCCAGAGATTTCATCCAGTCTTATTCTCCAGGATAATGAAGAATTGAGAACTGAATTCTTCAGTATCATCTGGGATATCCAAAAGATCAATCTCAAGACCATCCAAAAGCTCAAATCTCAAGACACAAGTGTCACTGACATGAGCCTTCTTTGGTCCCTCTGAGCATGAAATTAAAGGCAAAATTATCCTGTAATTAATCCCACAACATTCCTACCATCATTATCTTTTTCCTTTCTCCTCCTCATCTCTCTAGATTGTAAATTCATACAGCTAAAAGACAAAAAAATAACATGAACTTGGCATTTGGGGGAAACCTGGCAGGGGTGGTTTCTGCTGCCCTTGGAGGAATCCACTCCATAGCAGCTACAAAGCAGAGTAATTAACAGATTTTTACACAGAAATCCGAGCAGACATCTGAGACCAGTCCAGCCTCAATTCTAGTACAGGAAGAGGAGGAATCACCAGAGATACTAGCAAGATACTAACATTATCATTAGTTATTAATTATTATTATTAACATTAAAGATACTAAGCCCATTTCCTTATTAGTTTTATACACAATGTGCTTAAAGGCTGCTCCCTCTGCAGTGTCTGGCCCTCCAAGCAGGGAGCTTTGCCGTGTATTTTTTCACGCAGACTGCAGAACAAGGTCAGAGTGGCTTTGGAAACGTCTCTCCCTCATCCAGGCATGGCTGCTGCTGGCAACTGGATCAGACAACAGCTCTGCCGTGGGGTTTCAAGTGCAACCATCACAGCAACACTTAGTGGGTCCTCAAGCCCCAAATCCAAACTTTTCTGCCTACCCATTACTGAAAATTTTCAAAATGTATTAATAAAAGGGCTCTATCCAGCAACCTCCTCTCCCTGCCAGTTTGAAAGAAACTCTAACTTAGGGGTGAGAACAAGGGTCCCCCTACCCTGCTGCCTGAGCGGCCAAGGGCCAACAGCTAAGGTGAAGCTCCAGAAGAGGGGCACCTCCCCATTCTCTTCCCTATCTCTTTAGACTTCCATAGTAAGTAGCTCACACAGTTCTTAAGCTAGAGGTGGTTTCAAATATGAAGTAACAACGAGCTTTCCTGGTGTGTGTTTTCTGTGTGCTACTTTCCCTACAAACTCACGGAAATCCTCGATATTCTCAAGACCCTTTGGAAGAAGCTCCTGAGCTCCACCACAAAAGCGCAACCAGGAAGGGCTTCCACCTCCTGTGTGTTTGCTCTAGACAGCTGTGAGCTCCACTCCATGCCCTTAAATTCCCCTAACAGAAGAAAACAGTAGCAGCAACACCATGAGATTTCCAACAGTTCAAAAGCAGACAGTCCACATACGTGGCTGGCAGTACAATTCCAGACTTGTGGAATTCTGTTCCAGCAGAAGCAGCAACTAGTCCGGACTGAGGAAAGTGAGTACAGGCTTCATCTTTCACTCCCTGCATGATATAAATTCAAGCTTCCCCATAAAGAACAGGAAGGACATGAAGGTATGGATATTTTTTGTACCTACCTGGTCCACTCAACATAGCTTTTATTGTTCCTGATGTTAATGCATGCTCTCTTTTTACAATGAACTCATGGCCATCAGAGGATATTAACTTTACATACATTGCATCTGGGCCCTCACACCCGCCGTATGTTTTCTCTTCTCCATCTATAATACAAAACAGATTAACAGTTTCAGCACACAATGAGCATTACTGAGATTATACGTTGTGGTCTCGTGCAGAGCTAGATTTGCAAATTCCAARACCACCAAAAATAAGACAGAAAAGACAGAGGTGTTTTTACGTTTGAGGGAAAAAAATAAAAAACCAAACTTCTTTGAAGAAGGCATCACCTGTTTCAAAGTAGCATTAAAAAAAAAAGGAATGAAAAATCTCAGTTGATTTAACTTCCCTCCTCCTCTGTTTCTCCATCATCAATTATTGACCTGATTTCAAAAACATCTGCAAACGGCTCAAATTTTCCTTTAGCCAAATTCTCGAAAGGAGAGTGTTTTGAGGAGGATGCTGCCCCTCCCCTCCACATGAAAGGACTGCCGCGSGAACCACGCTAATAGTTCAAGGCTCCACAAAGAGTCAAATAAATGGCTATCAATGTTTAAAAGAAAAACAGTCTGGGAGGCAAAAAGGCCTTTAGAAAGCACAGATAAGAGCTGAGGTTCCTGCACTGAAGGGGTGTGAAATTGGATTCATTCCTCCTAAAGGATTAAGGTACTGTGTTACCCCCATTATGTCCTTTGGTGGAAAATAAGGTAAGTGCACAACACTGAGGGAAAAAAAAATCAAGGAAATTTGGACGCTCCTCCCACAGCAGTCTTAATGGTGTTTTTTCCATCCTTCTCCCTGCTCTCCATCTTGTTCCTCCATGGACTATTAGCCTCCGTACCTCCCTTTTTTTCTTTATTTTTCCCCCCCTATCTATTTTCTCCTACTATCCCACTGTTCACTTTGTGCATTCCAGCACTCTCCTTATCTTGCACCTTATTCAGCTGCTCAGGCATCAAGCTGAATTGCTGAATACTCTGCCATAAACAGACAGTTTCTATCAAAGTCAAGCAATTGTGATCTYGAAGGACTTTTCCAACCATAACGATTCTACAATTCTATAGGAGTACAGAAGTCCTGCTAGAATTCAGTTAGAAACACCTGAGCTCTATACTGCATGTAGGCTTCATTTTCAGAATAGTAACACCCTTGCCAGAAATATAAAATCCCCAAAGTTCCTACAGCTTGGAAAGAATATAACCAAAGAGATCTGCAAACAATCATGGAAAACTGGCAACCTATTCCTTYTCAGAAGGATGTAGGAGTAGGAAAGATAGAATGAATACAGACTGCAAACTTGGAATTTGACTGTTAATGTCGCTTCTCCAGCTGGCAAAATAAAGAATAGAAATACTAAGTGCACTGCATCTATAGCAAATACAACATTCCAATAAACTCTATTGCTCTGTGACTTTGAAATTAAAATGGAATTACCATACAATTATTGCTAATCTTAATAGAGTATTTCTAGTGCTAAGGATGTTGAAATGCATTCAGAAGAAAATATAAATAAAACGAGAATCTGCCCAGTGAAATTCATTTCACTGACCAGTCATATGAAAATAGAGAAGTTTTAGGTGCTTAAAGTCAATGCACACACACACACAGAGTAATTCAGAAAGAGTTTGTCCTTATAATGTCTGTCCTTAGCCAGAATTAAATAGGTTGACATCAGAAAGCAATTAAAAGTATGTAAGAGCAGATAATGTCATTCGCTAGTCTATGATCTCAGAAGTTTAATGTTACAGAACCTAAAGAAAGTCTATTTTAGCATGCATGTTTTCAGAACTTTGGCCATTAAGTAAAATGAAATTTATTTAAAAATCCATTCTGAATAAGTCTTCCAATAAACTAACTTGAGAAATTCCTCATAAAATCTGTTTAAATTAACTCTCTCTAGTTTATGATTTTTTCTTTTGACATAACCAGTAACAACAATGTTGGAAGAGCAAATAAAATGTGTGCTGTGGAACACAGTATTGGCAYGTTGTGATAATTCTGTCAGAATTTGGTGCTATAAGAAAAATAGTGACAATGAGTCTTACAATGCACCTCCTCTAGGTGGTAAAAGGCGAGATGTTTCACATCACAATAAACAAAAAAAGCTCTAAGAAAATTAACTTACCCATTCTCTTATAAAAATTCTTATTTCTTTGCAAGAGCCTCTTTTGCTACAGGAGCGTCTGAAAAGAAAACACACCAGTGGCAGGGGTGTCAGTCAGCAGCTTGGTGATTTCTTAAGCCTTTTTCAGTTATTAGCTTTATATAAACACTCTGAGGGAATAATAGAATAATACACAACCTGCAATGTTGGTGAATACCTAAAACATGAGGTTTTGAACCTTCTCTTCACTGCCCAAAGAGCCTTTCCAGCTCACCATACTCTGGTATTTCTAAACTCCAACGTTTAGCTTGCTTTGAAACCGTTCCCAGCACAGGGCTGGGACCGCGAGGCCAGAGTTACTCCTGGAGCTGGTGAGGGAGGCAGGGCTGCCAAGAGCCCGTGTGGCAAGCGAGAGAAGTCAGGGTCGGATGGGGAGGACATGAATCCAGGAGCAATCCTGGCGAGGGGCGGGCAGGAGTCCCCGGAAGGCAGCAGGGAAGCGCAGAGCCCTGCTGGGCGCCGGAGCAGAGGCCAGGAGTGGCGGCAGTGGCTGGGCCTGGCCCGCGCAGGCCGTGGCCCTGGGCAGCCACCACAGGGCTCGGGAGAGCAGAGGCACCGTCCAGGGCAGGGACACGATGCACTGGGCAGGCAGTGGGGCGCTCGCCCCATCATTTACAGAAAACCCTCRTCATGCCAATGTGGTTGAAACAGGTGACCTGAGAGGTGACCAGGATTAAAAACCCAGTCGGACAAGATCCCATGCAACAAGCCCAGGACGCCCTGCCTCGAGCGGGGTTGTTTGACTCCAGCTCCTGGGCTCTTCTGTTCTGTGATGCTACAGATTTGTCCAGTTCTGTTGGCTCCCAGACTGGACATGGTTGCCGCCCTTGCAATTTGTATTTAGTGAGAGCATTTACTTCCATTATTCATTAGGGAGAGCATTCACTTCCAAAGTATTCTGCTTAATGCAAGACACAAGGCAGGTTATAGGAGGACGAGTTCATTCCATCTTTGCCCAAGGCTTCCTCACAGTGAATATACACGCAGAATTAGACACATGCAGCACGGGAGCCAGGGATGGCACGTAGCAGGTGCTGGAGAACCCTCCACAGGACGCAGTTAAGAGCGCAAACAACCCCAGAGAAGCATTTGAGAGGCAACTGCACATGAACGTCAACTAGATAATCTGTTTGATACATGGACCATAGGTATTCATAGAGTAAATTCATCAGGAGTTACCACAGCTTGTACCTTCACAAAGAACTTGTTTAACACAGACCTCCCGTGTAGATATATCCCAAGAGGTATCGAAATGAGAGCTCCATCTGCCAACCACACCTGGTATGTTCAGGCACGAGACACAATTCTGGACACTGAAACTGCCCTTCTGTTGTGAAGAAAGAAAACTTTGGAACAGAAATTCCATTCAGCCAATTACTCTCTTAAAATCTGTTTCAAGTCAACAGCTTCTCTCCAATCATTAACTTATCGCAAGTCGCTGCGATAAGTTAATAAGTGCGATAAGTTAATAAGTTTCGCTGGGAGCAGCAGATCCGGGCAAACCTCCCCTGTGACTCTGCCCGAGTTTCTCTCTAAGAATTGYCTCCATCTCACATAAATCCTTTTCTAAATACCTCCCTTTCCCACTTACACATGGCAACTTTCCACCTGTGCTCTTGCAAGTGGAAAGTTTTTGAACATAAAGCAAATTTAAGAAAGTTGAGTTCATTTGTGTAAACCAGCACAGAGATGTCCCAGTGTGAACGCCACTGCCATCTTTGTTAATTCCAGGAAGGAATTTCCTCCAAGGAAACCACGTTCTGCTGCTGCACACTCGGGTGCTGGGACAGCGACAGCACAAAACTGATGGGATGTTTTCTCTCATTTCAACAGGTTGTGCAAATGGAAATCAAGACCCCTACCGGCAAATACTGGTTCTCAGAAACTGAGGGGACACCTTATTTTATTATATATATTTTTCCACATCAGAAGGTCCCTTGTGGCTAGAGAAAGGGGTAGCACAAAACTTCCCCACTCTCCAAAAGACTGGCAAAACACCTTATTTCCACAAACAGAAGAAAATAACCACCCTTTTGTGAAAGTAACAGTGGCAGGATAAAACATATCTGCTTGCAATATAAATAGCATCATTAACTATAAGAAGGGATAAATACAGGCTGGTTAGTGGGCATGGGGGCACATTAACACCTTCCAAAGTGAAAGCATAACTTGAAGGGACTAATATGTTAAAGTTGGAAAACTGAAATAATTCCTGAACCAAAACCATAGAGCGGCTGAAAAGCTGCAAATGTAACGAGTGTTTTAATTAAATGAAATGGAATGTGCCATCATGTGATTAGAAAGAAAAAAAAAAACAGCAGTTATACCTAAGATAAAAAAAAWATGTTCTGAATGCCAGTGTATGAAATATAAATGAAATAAAAATGCAGCAAGGGTTAGCAAAGTTACGACAACAGACCAAACCAGTATCTAAAAAAAGGAACCAGCCATTTCCTTTATAATGACAGCTAGATGTAATCTGGATTCAGTGAAACAGCTGGGCTTAAAAAAATGAGATAAAGAGGAGAATCTTAAAACAAAAAATATTTTTTCTAAAGCAATGCCACACAGCACTGCAAAAATGAAACAATGYGGGTGGACAATACTAGTGAAGTTCCTCCAGAAATTATATCCAACTTACTTTAGACACGGCTACCAAAGAAGATGGGAGAAAGGTGGAAAGCAACAAAAGCAGAGCTCAGTATTTATAATAAACAAGCAAATATTGAAAAATGACAAATTAGAAGCTAGGTGAAATGAAATCATATGAAATGCAAGAGCCTACAGGTTGGGATTAATGAGTTTCTTTTATATGATCAGGGCTTGGAAGTTTTAGCCAACCTATGGTGAATTATAAACTGATGCGGCTCCAGGGAGAAGGAAAAAATAAGAAAGCAAATTAAGGCCTTAGGGCAATATCATTTGGATGACAACTGGTCTGTAATATCGGGTACAATTCTAATTCCATGTCTTCAAGGATAAGAAGTTCAAATTTAAGGAATTACAGAAAGGAGCGACTGACATGACCGAAGACCTTGTTGCATGAAAAAAAGGTCTTGCTTACACAACAAGATAAAGCTGGAAAGAACATAAACATAATTTAAGGATAAATAGCAAAGCGGAAGGAGCACGCCAACATTATTCTTCAGTTTAAGTTCAACRAAAACATAAACTAGCAAGTAACAAATCAATACTGCTATCCCAAAATCTGAGTCCAGGGGAATCCAGAATCTAATTGCAATGCTAAAAGTAAATAAACAAATAAATAAAGCAGAGACCCTACCTAGTTTTAAGAAAAATATGTATATATTCCACTGTATGAGGTATTTGATGAGTAAACAAGGCTGTGAGTTTGGTTTCACTCAATTTCTATTCTAGTACAACAAAGAATGTATAATTACAGAAAAAAATATAAAGTGAGATTCATGAGCAGTATCAGCAAGATAGATGTAATCCCAGCCTACAGACAGCACAGAAAGATCATAGGGCTCAATGTAAAAACAGAAGAGAGAAGGAAAGGACAGAACAGGAAAGCTGGGCAAACGGAGAAAATCAGAAAAGCCCCAACAACCTGTCTGTATCTCTGGGCTTCTCTAGTGGATCTAGAGGTGCTGAGTTAGCTTGGCATTTACTGCACTACAAATGGCTCTTTGGTGAAAAGCATCTTCACCCCAGCAGTCATGCCCACCTTGACTGGGAGAGTATTAACATGACCCCACATAAGCCACAGCCTCCCTTCCTCAATCAACTATACTGTTAGCTTATGAGTTTATAAAAAGGTAAGTGGAATAAACGYTCTGAAAGCTGGTACAAAAACAAACGTGCGGCTGCACATTCGACTTCTTTTTTCATAGAATTCTGTTTTGTTACTCAACATCTTAAAAGAAAAAAATATCCATTAAGAAAATAAGTTAGAAGGGGAGTAAGAGCGGGTGACGGATGAAGAGATYCCTGCCTCGTACATGTTACAGCTGGAAGCAGCGTGGGAAGGAATTCTTTCCGCACAAAAATACCACTCCACACTCTGTATTTTAAGAGGTTGGCAATTAGGTCTTGAGTATTAAATGACAGGATAGGAACAAAAAACACGAGTCACAGAGCATATCCTCTTACCAGAATTATTTTTTGTGGGATGTATTTTGTAATATTGCAAAACACTTCCTTACATTTTCCTTCTGTATAATGAAAATGATGCAGAGGGTGTTTGTCAAGGCAATATGAAAAAAACRCTTGGTGAGATTTATGGAGGTGCCTGGAACCTGCCTGTATTTTAGATACTACATTTTATAGCTATTTCTGTTGTTCTTCACCAAAACTCACACTAAGCTTCACAGTCTAAGCTTCCAGAACATGAGAAGAGATCCACACAAAGAACCATTGATACTTTATTCAAAATATATTTCATATGTGGCATTAAGAATTAGATAGCTCATCTTCCTGCCATCTCTCTCAAAATGTATATATATTAGGTATTCTTGTTTTCCTACATACCTCATCAATACAAAATAARGGAAAAACAAAAGGCTAAAAATGCATTAAGAGAAAGATTGCACAAGACAAAAGTTCCATCTAAGATAAATAAAATTAAAAGCAGTATTTAGCACAGAAGAGAGAATTTTTTTTTCTTTTTTAAGAAAAAGGAAGTTGCTGCTGCAAGAGACAACATTTTTGCTGTCAGTTAGAGAACCGGAACCTTTCACAAGTGGTTAGAATATTTACATCTATAATGTAAAATACAGGCACGCACTATAAAAAGTGACTATTAACCTACACAAGTCAAACATTTTCTTTGTACGCATACCCAATGTTTTGTTCTCCTTTCCACAACCCCAAGAATAAATACCATGGCAGAGCAAATATAACTCCTTCCTGACTCCTCCCAAGCATGGAGTGCGGGGGATAATGTCACGGAGATGCCTCGTTCCTGCCTCACTCCCCACGTGCATGGCTTATCTCTRCCCACATTTGCAGCATGCCATTTCCTTACGTACCTTGTCTGTCTATAGATTGGAATATACGTCACTTTGGAGGCATGTGATAATTCAAACAAGCACACGCAAGTGCTGTACAGATTCCAGAACTCCACTGTTTTATCTTAATGAAGCACAAGCAAATTAAGTCTACACAAGCATTTGTTTACACTCCAATGCTTTGATCTCACAGAAAACTTGAAGAGCTTTTGATGCTGGTCCAGGGCAACTCAATGACTTCCCTTCTCTAGCTTGGTAGGCCCCACATGGCTTTGTGCACCTCAGCTCAGGCCCTTTCTTGTGTCTTCTGTGTTCTCTTTTTTGAAAATGTGAGACAAATAACTCAAATGCCTCCACAACCCCTAGCTTAAAATCAAATGCGAGGTTGCAGGACGCTCTGTGTATGTTACTAAATGTTCACTAATAAGCTGTCATGTGTTAAAGCATCAGAGCCTTTTTTCAGTCCCAAAGCAACCAAGTCCTMCTGCTGTTCCACGTTTACACCTAGAATCTGGTTTGTTTAAGCATGACACACTTCCGTTTAGCATTCACTGCCCAGGACATACTAGGAAACACTGAAAATAAAGGACTGTAGTGTATTTTAAAATATCATGAGAGAAAATAGCACAGGGTGATTTCCAAACCAGCTGACTTGGTATTCCATAAACACCAATCCTCAAGCTCGAGCATTCAGGTAGACTGCCGTGTGTGTGTGTGTGTGTGTGTGTGTGTGTGTGTGCGCGCGCGCAGTATTGAAGCTGTCCCTTTACTCAAGATTTTCTTTTTTTTTAATGAACCTTTTTCTTCAGTAACTCCTTTATAGATTTTTTTTCCACAACTTACAACAAAAGCCTGGATTATAGTCTCTACTAAGTCTTGAATAATTCCTGCCATAGTGGGGAAAGATGCCAGTGTACTCCACTGGATTTTCCCCCTCTCATTGCAAATATACATCAAAACCTAAATTATCCATTAATAAAGGTAACTAGATTATGAATTCTAAAATCCTCCTGGATATGGAAAATTTTGTCAAAAGCCCAACACCAAAAAAAGAAAAGCACTATGAAAAACAGTCAAGATTTCCTTGCAGTGCATACACAGAACTGCAAAAGGACAGTAAAACATGTGGGGCTAGGTAAGCTCCCCAAAGATATTAAATTGCCCCCACACAAAGCTTAAGTGACACGAGCATGAACACAAAATAGGGGCTGGAACAATCTGAAGGTGGGAGCGAGAGGAAGGAAGAGGTATTTGAAAAGAACCAGCTGGGCCTCCTTCCTCACTGCCCTGTAACACAGTGACCAACATTAAGTCTCCATGCAAAGTTTCATGAAAACTGCTCCATCTGCTCATCACTTATCACAGTGAAACGACGAAGCTCGAATAACCTGTTAGCTGACATAGCAAAAAAAAGAAGGAAAAAAAAAAAAAAAGCTAAAAGTGCTGCAAGTTTCTAAGCACATCTGTTCTAAAATCTCCATCCATGTTAACTCTATGGACATGAACACCAAGGAATCTTGATGGGCAAAGCTCTATTTACAGAMCTGAACCCTATGAGGAGGCTGGTGCGAAGCCACAGCGGGTGACACGCACTGCAAGKGATTAACACCTTGCCCTCCACATGGCGCTCTGACTATCTGAAAGTCCTTCTCTACTGACACTATGGGGTTTTACTCAGTATATTCACAGGAAAAGTGAGCACAGGAAGAAACACTCAGAAATGGAAATGGTTCCACACAAGGGTGAGACACGCGGGTATTTTTCTGCTCTCCTTCCAAGCCAAACTCCTACAAGTGACTGACCGCAAACTTGGGCAAACAAGACTTCCTATGGCTCCCTGCACTGCGGGGCCTTTGTCGGGACTTGGAGCCCTCGGCACCTCCGGCAGAGCTCGGAGCCAGGGACGCTCAGCACAACGACAGCAGCTCAACACAGTGCCAGGCACAACGGGCCCGAGGGAGCCGCCGACGTCTCAAACAATCACTTGCCAAGGCCTCTGCTTGCTGACGTTAGGGTAAAACCAACCCGTGAGGCGCAGATCGCACCGAAGGGCTTGTTGATTTTGCCTTTTCTGCTTTGTTTGCTTGCGYCAAACACAGATAAGGCAGCGCGTCACCCTGCCCAGCACCGCGCTGCGCTCGGGCTCCCGGCGCCGTCCCGGCCACCGCGGCGCAACCGGCGCCTCGCACCTCGCCTCGACACCCGCCCCGGGCCCGGGCCCCGCTCGCTCCCGCTCCGCAGCGCCCGGTGCGGGCCCCGCTCGTTCCCGCTCCGCAGCGCCCG